GCCAGGAGCCGTGCCGCGGGGCTGGTGCCGGGCGTGAGGAGAAAGTCCCGACTGGTGTGTGGGTGCGCGAGTGCCGCTGAAGGCGGAGGTGCCGCGCGCCCTCCCCCGGGCCGGGCCGGGCGCCCGCGGCCATTGCTGTGAGGAGAGCAGAAGCGCTCCCGCTGCGGAAGGCCGCGCTAAGCCGAGCAAAGCAAAAGCCAGTCCGGTAAATAGGTCGCTACAACTGCCACAGCCCTCCGAGGGGTCTCAGTGGAAGGCCTTTCCCCTCGCAGGTAGCAGCCGGCGGCGTGTCCGGCAGCGTGCAGGTGGTGCGAGGTAGCGAGGCACTTCCCCGGTCGTCACTGCTCAGTGTGAGGGAGGTCCAGTTTGTATCTTATTTTTTCCCTCTTGGCTATTACGGCTGTCAAGATAATCGCCTCCAATGCAGCGGGAGCCTAAATGTAATCGAGATGGATTGAGCGCCGTGTGTTTTAACGTAGCTGAAGCATCATTAGAAATCTAGGCAAACCCAAAAATACTCAGAACTGAGGGGAGCATCTTGTGAAGCAGTAGTTGCAAAAAAGGGTTTCAGGAATGAGCTCCAAAAACCTGCTTTATACGAAGCAGCTGAAGGAGCTCTAGCTTATTGATCAGAAGATGAAGGGAGATGTTAATTTAAAGCTGTAAGTTCCTGTCAAATGAGACAAAGAAAAGAAATCAAATTGCAGCTAGACAAGTCCGATCCATAAATACGATACTCTTCCGTATACAGCACTGCTGCTGGGTGAGTGCATCACTTCACACTGTCTCAACCTCTCATACCTGTCTGAATGAAAGTGCTGCTCTGTGAGAGCTCAGAGCCTCTGCCTGTGGCTGAGCACCGTGTCGGACTCCGTCTCCAAAGGGACTCACTGTTGGAGTCTCTGCCAGCAGCTGGATGGCTCAGCCACCGCCGGCCTGCTGTGCCTGGGGTGTGCGACCTGGTGGGGGCAGCTCGGAGCACGCCAAGGCTCCGGTGGCCTTGTATCTACGGTAGAAACAAGAGTTCTCCAGCCTTGCAAGTATTTTGCTCACCTCAGCTGGGCTGTCATCATGGGGCTTCATTCTTGGCTGCAGTGTTCCCTTGCACAAGGTCTCCTGAGATTCTTGTTCCGTATCTTCACCGTTTTGAGACTACTCAGGTCCAAAGACAACTGGCTTTCTATTGATTCCAATTGACATCCAAAAATGCTGTTTCCTTTGTCACGCTGTGCCTGGCTTTCTGGGCCTACCACATACGCATCATTGCAACAGATGGGTACTTTTTAGTACTAGTGTTCTTGAGACAGGACATGTAATGGATAGTACCCCTGTGCTTTTCTCCAGTCTTGTCCCAGCCGTAGCTCACTGCTGTTCAGAGGCATAGCCAAGTCCCTTGATAACCAATGACACCTTTCTTTGGACTTCCAATTTCTTATTTATCGTCATGACATTTTAAAATTAGGCCACAATTTCTCATCTTAGTAGGAACTTTATTATAGAATCATAGAATCATAGAATTGTCTAGGTTGGAAGAGACCCTTGGGATCATCAAGTCCAACCATCTACCCTACTCTACAAAGTTCTCCCCTACACCATATCCCCCAACACTACATCTAAACATCTCTTAAACACATCCAGAGATGGTGACTCAACCACCTCCCTGGGCAGCCTATCCCAGTGCCCGACCACTCTTTCTGTGAAAAATTCTTTCCTAATGTTCAGTCTAAATCTGCCCTGTTGGAGCTTGAAGCCATTTCCTCTCGTTCTGTCATTAATTACCTGTGAGAAGAGACCAGCACCAACCTCTCTACAGTGTCCTTTCAAATAGTTGTAGAGAGTGATGAGGTCTCCCCTCAGCCTCCTCCTCCTCAAACTAAACAGTCCCAGCCAATTATCTTTGTTTTGCTCTGGCCCAAGACACGAGCAATTTTTAATTACAGCATCTCTGAGTTTTCTGTAATTGTTCCCTTCCAAAAAGCACTGAGCTATTAATTGCCTTCCTAAAATTATCTTTTCATACTTTTAAAAATCAGTCCCCAAAAAGGCTATGGTGCAGAGGTCTAAATTCTCACAGAAATACATTGTTAAACAGTTTCAATAAGCAAAACAAATGTGACAGCAAATGGCTTAATATATGGAGCTCACTCAACTAAATCCTGTAAGTCCTTTCTGGAAATTAGTTCACCTGGGAAAGGACAATGAGATTCCTGATAGACCATGAGAATAAAGTTTTCCATGTGCAGCTCAAACTGCAAGTTTGCAGCAGTGAATAAATTCTGACTCGACATCACGTATCTAACGGAGCATCCTTGGAGCCATGTTGGGGTGACCAACTGTATATGGTATATTTTAGAGTGCTCCCAGGGAGCTCTGGGCTGTGTGGGCAAGCCCGGCATTTTCTGCTTGGCTCAGTCCTTGTCTTTATTCCTCAGAGTCCTCGGAGATCAAGCAGGTGATCTGAGCTTTCCCTGAGAAAGACCCTGCTGCTGCCTGCTGGGTAGGACTTCAGTCGGCTGGAGCTCAGCGGCAGTGCTGCATCCAAACATCTACAGGTGGCAATATGATCACAAGGTGTGTGCTTCAGGGAGCACATCAGGTGTTAGTACATGCCTGTGCTCAAGCGTTAAAGAAGAGTATAGACAGAAGCCCACATCCTGAAAGGGGCCCGTGCACTGTGGCTCCACGGTCTACCTTATGGTCGCATGGAACACACAGATACGTTGACCTGGGTAGGGCCTTTTTGTCCTCAGGGAACGACAACTTTTTCAACACTGTGAAATTTTCCTTTGGCTTCCCAGAGTGATTCTTTCCTCTAGCCCACTCTGGATGTCCAGAGGGACTCACTGAAATTGCCTGTGGGAGAAGGTGGCACAGCTCATGCAGACATAATCTTAGGATCTGGAGAACAGGAGGCAACGCACTTCCAAGGAGCAGGGACTCGGGTAGTCCTCCCATTTCAAATCTAAACACCCTGTGTGAGGAGCTGCCTTTACAGAATGAGCCAAGAAGGACAAGTGGGCTGTATACCAAGCCACTCGAGTGGTACACATAAACTTGACCAGTGGTGAGAAGTAACAGGCCTTATACATGTCTTCCACTGTGTCCCACATCTGATCTAAAGCCTGCACCGGAGTAAGGGTCTCTATCTACATATTGAAGATACCAGTTGAGTTTGAGCTTAGCCAGCTGGAATAACTCCACATTAGTGTAGGGCCATAATAGTCTTATCTGTGGGTCTTATTGAAGGCCAGCACGCCACTCTGGAGGCTGCGGGGCTCAGGGCACTCTGTACAGCGACTGTGCTGCCATGGTTCCAAGCACCTGGATGGAGGGTGCCTTAAGAGACCCTCTTTTAAAGAGAAATAATAGTGTGCACAGCTTCCTTTGCTTGCTTTCGCTCTTTTTTTTCCTTTCTAGGCCTGTCCAGCCCACTAAAATGTATTCTTTTCACACATGTAAATATTGTCTGAACATATGATGGATTGTGCATTTAATCCGATTTACTAAGAGACATCACATTGTCTTATCTCCTGCTCTTTCGTGTCCATCTCTTAAACCATTTGTAAATCTGTTTGCAAATCTCAGAGAAGTTTGGTAGAGCAATAGAGCTCTTAAAGATACTAAATTCTTACAAGTGTTGTGAAAACTGGGAAGTGGATAGATGAAAAGTGGGAACTCAATGTTTAGCTGTTTTTGTGGCCTACTGGCAAGCTAATCGATACTCCATAGTGTGGAACCAGCACGGCACAATGCCTCCTGCCCAGCAGGAGGGTGGGCAATATGGGAAGGATAAAAGGATGGCATGGTTGGGAGGGCCTTGGGGACAGCATGGAGTGACTGCCAGGGAATGGTTTCACCAGAAATAACTCAATGAAAAGTTGCTTTATTTTGATGGGGAATATCAAAACTACAACTGATATCAGAGGAAGGGCCATTAGGTCAAAATCAGGAGGGTGGGTTTGGGATCTACCTTATTTATGACATCTGTGAAATCACTGCACTCTTCTATCCTTCAGTTCCTCCATCAAAACAAGGTAAATCATTCAGAGCTCCTCACGTAGAAAGGGCCGCAGGCTGTTATTTATGAAAGTAGTTTGGTGTTTCTGATTCTAGTCAGGGTGGGGAATGCTACAGCACGCACAAATCAAGCTAGAGAGTGTTGTATCTTTTCCCTTCTTGCCTCAGAAATAAAAACAACTGAGGGAGGAAGGACTGGGCTTAACATCAGTGCAAGATGAGAGAAGGGTCCCATTAATCCCTGTTCAATCCAGCCCAGTGCCTCATTTCCCGAAGGCTCATTTAGAACAACAACAGTTCACTTTTTGCAGTCTTTCATAAAAAGACACGCTTGCTCCACACTCTCTTTTGGACGGCTGAAAGCAGCAGGATAGCCTTGATACGTAAGTCACTCTGGTTTCTAACTGCCAGCCTTCTGGTGGCCATGGGCTAGGTGGCTTTTGAAAATTTTGTGTCTAATTTTAAAACAACGGCTGGCGTTCAGCAGCCTCTGGAGGGAAGACGGGCTTGGGGGTGTCTCCGGCTGCCCGCTGGCTCCGGCCGGAGGAGGAGGTTGGCTGCCTGCAGGGTGCACTGCTGCCCCGCTCTGCTCCATCGCCCACCCCGCAGGGCATCCCCACCGCCAGAAGCTTCTTCTCCAACTGGGCTGACATGGAGTTTCTTTAAAGCACAGCAATAAATACGCCAAAATACACTGACTGTGGGCATGGGCATGTTTTGTTTGTGAAAAATTAAACTTTTGCCTTGTTAAGCGCCTGCGTTACCAGCTCAGCCCTTCAGTCACCAGAGGACAAAATGAAGCTGCTGTTGCAGTTCTCTGGAAAAAGAGCTAAACAAATTATACTTAACTATTTTAATGTATGTGTCCAGTGGACTGTATGACAGGTCTCAGTTGTTGATCTTGCAGTTTGTCCCGTTTAAAGGTGAAGTTCATCGAAGGCTAAGGTAGGGGTCGTATTGCCACTTGAAAAGGCATCCTCTGGAGTTTTGAGCCCGTGGAGCTGTTTCACATGAGGCAGAGTATGACTCATGCTAATGAAAAGGGTAAAGAAGATTTTTTTAAAGAAATATATCGCAGTTAAATTAGTTTAGACAGCATGACATCAGAGAGTAATT